TAGCTCGAAAGTAGCAGTTGCAGGAATTGCGGGCTGCACAAGTCCCGGGCCGGTGTCATCGCGCATCCTTTTCTTCAATTCCCCCATGAGGACTTCATCGATATTAGCCATAGCGGTAGCTAAATCGTCTTCAAACTCGGATTCATGCTCGTATGTGGGTTCTTCTTCTTCCTCGGTCTCGTACTCGGTGTCTTCTTGAATTGGATCTCCGATTGTCAAAGAGGCACTGGATGCTCCTGATTTGCTGCTCCTCTTCTTGCTGAAAATGGACTTGAGGTTTTTGAGTGGTGAGTTCTTTGAAGAAGCGGATTCTCTAACGGTTTTGCCTTTGCTCCTCCTTAGTGTGGATTCCGGGTCTTCAAGAGGAGGGACCAGAGGTGTATCAGATCCTCGGGTCATGAAACAACTGTAAACAAAACAAAAAACGCGTAAAAAGAACAAAAATAAAATACAAAATTAAAATTGCAAACAACGATGTACTCGCCGAGTCGGCACGAGTGCACTCGGCGAGTCCGAGGTAACAACAGAAAAAAAATTTCTAGTTACTTTGAAAACAGATTTTTTTTATTGAAACTTACACTACTTGCTAAATTACCTTTTAATTAACTTTGTGTAAGATAAATCACACACAAAGGATCGATTAAATTAGAATTTAATATTAATTTTAGAACCGTTCCCCGGCAACGGCGCCAAAAACTTGATGTGTGTAAACTCAACTAGTTTTAAACCTCCTTTTAATTATAAAATAAACACACAAAGGTAGTGGACCTATCAATTTTGGTAAAGCTAAATAAGTAGGGTATCGAACACAGAGAACGGTAAATTATTAAAATAAAAACTAATTCTATCTAAATTAATTAATAAGTAAGGGGTTTTCTCTAGTTTTACAAGACTAGAAACTTACTAACTAATACTTAATCTAAAAACTAGAAAAACAAAGAATTAACTAGATTCAATAATGGGAAGGAACTTCTGTTTAGTTCAACTCAAGTGATCCTATGGTTGATTTCAAGGTAATGGTGCAATGGATTAACTCTTTTGTTGGTTACCGATTCAAGTGATTAGATTCACATTCACTACACTAATCCTTAGTGAATAAACTAACTCAAACAGTGATCAGTTGTCTAATTTAATTCAATTCACTAGATTAATTATTCGGGTTAATTTAGACTTACAATAGTTAACTAATTTGGCTTTTAATTAACTTCTTGTTGATGGTCATCACACAAGCTCACACATGAATTTACTTAATTTTCTTATTATTTCTAGTTTCATGTTCATTAATCCTAGACATATAACAAAGTGGCCACATGGCATATGAGGTTGATAATCAAACGATGTTCATGCTATTTAATTACCTTCCTATTAACAGAAAATTAATTATCATTCACACACAAGGTTCTTTAGCAAGTTAAAATAACAAAAATCACCAACATTGAATTAATCCTACCAATAATCAAACCATAGTCTCAATTTTGTATCCCGAAACAGAAGTTTAAGAGTTTTAGCTCATGATTGAAGTAAATAACAGCAAACAAATGAATTCTAATTGTCTAGCCATAATGGAAAACAAAAGATTGAGTAGAATGATGAAATTTGCCTCAAATCTCATTCGGAATTGGATTCTAGCTTGTAACTTCGTTCTCTAAGGTTTCTCTGGTTCTTCAATCGCAGCTAATCTCTCCAGAAGGGTTCCAGAATTTTTTTCTATCGATCTGAGAAGTTATCTTTATATACACGCAACGACTCGTCGAGTCAAGTGCCGACTCGTTGAGTCCATCTCACAATCCATGTATGCGATAAGTCTATGGGTCTTTGAATCTTTATCTTCTCAAATAATCACTTGGACTCGCCGAGTAGACGACCCTACTCGTCGAGTAGGTGTTGTTTTTAGTGTTTTTCTTCTTTGTTCAATTCCCGAGCTCCTAACCGCTTCTCCTACTTCCTTTTGCTTCCGAGCTTCACTTTTGGACTGAAAACATAATTCAAGCACTATTAAGTACCTTTTGTCCATGAAATGAAATAATTTAGCTAATAAATGAATAAAAATCTACACTTCATATGAACTAAATATGCACATATCACTCACCAGGCTCCCAAGCCTGACTCAGGATAAAATAATATTTACCAAAGCATTTCATAAAGAAATGTATTTTCATTATATAATCAAAACTTGGGATGTCATGATCCGATACAGACACAAAAGCATAAACTATAAAACATAGACCTTACACGGTTACATACACTCAGTTTCTTTGTATTACATGTAGTGGTGCGAGAGCATAAGCTGAAGAACTTGTGAAGATGTTTTTGTTTATAGACCAGTAGTTGTATGTAACCGTGTAAGGTCTATGTTATATTGTTTATGCTTTTGTGTCTGTATCGGAACATGACATCCCAAGTTTTGATTATACAATGAAAATACATTTCTTTATGAAATGCTTTGGTAAATATTATTTTATCATATTTTGTTTTTGAGAACAAATTCCGCAACATTTTTAAATCAAAATGATTTACTCTAAATTTTTTTTAAAAGCATAAACGAAACCGGTCTTTTCTGGCCGAGATTTTAGGGATGTCACACGATATATGCGTAGCTTGTGGCGGACCCTATCCTACAAGAGATTATGAATATCAGAGAGCTCGAGTAGGTTATCAAGGTGGAGAAACGAAAGAATATCAACAACTAAAGCAAGATCTCTACCAAGTAGAAAGAGCACAATCTGAGAAGATAACTGCTTTTGAGTCCTTGTGTAACATCCCAAAATTTAAGGCCAAAAATTTCATTTTTGAATAAGTTATTATGAAACCATAAGTAATAAAACATCCATAATAACATCTCATGTCAAAACCAAAGTGTCAATAGTCAAACATGTTATCATGAAATAATATCAGAGTGTAATCCCAAAGATCTCATGTGCGGAAGACATACTGTGATGCACTGCGATCAAGCCGACTTCTTTCCCTTGAAAACGAGTACCTGAAACCAAAACTGAAAACCATAAGCACAAATCTTTGTGAGTTCCCCCATCATACCTCACACCATACAATCATATATACTGTCGGGCAATTCTAGGGTGCCCGACCTACCCATGTCAAGCCATTCTGGGGTGCTGACCTATCCATGTCAAGCCATTTTGGGGTGCTGACCTACCCGTGTCAGGCCATTTTGGGGTACTTGCCTGCCCACCGGTCTATCTCACCCGGCCACAGGGACTATTTCACCCCTACCACTATCACATAATAACATATCATAATCATGTTGTTAGACATATCTGGGTTGTCCGACCTACCCTTCGGTCCTAACGACCGAATCGGGGGACTATTCCCATTCTACTACCACTATCACATATCACATATCATACTGGAACATAGAACACAATAGGTAGTAGCAAAACAGACAATTATCATAAAGACAATCATCTTAACTATGATCAACTACTAGTGAGTCGACATTGGTGCCTTAGGGCTCGTTTGATAGTTGCTAACTGGATTAGAGCTGACCGAGTTAGAAGTTGACTGGGTTAGAAGTTCTGACTAAGTTAACTTCTGACTGAAACTTGCTTTTTGATTTTGCATCTGACTTACTATATAAAATGACTATATTACCCTCAGAGTAGATAATTTAATAACACATCATCAGTTGCAAGAATAAATTCCAAAGAATGATGTTCTAAAAATAGATAATTAAATAACCAAAAACAAATTACTTTTATTTTCTTGTCAAACAAAACATGAGGTGTATGATTGAAAATTGGATACTAGATTCATAAGATATTAACATCTCTCAAAGGCCAAATTTAATCCTAATGAGTTGAGAAATGCAAAACTCTGATATAAATCTAGACAAAACCTCATAGGGGCCTTACCCTAAGCCCATCAATATATTCCAGTCCATATGATTATTCTTGGATGGCCTATTAATAACCCAATCATCAAGGCCCAACAGAAAGGCACAACAATAAACCCAATTGAAATTAGGGTTTCACAAAAAATGATAATTAGGGTTAAGTGTTTCTCACTTAACCCATTAAGGACTTAATCCATTAAGTCCATCACTCTTCTAAATAAATCATATGCTGTGATTGGGCTTAATACATAATTCCATTCCAATGGCCCAAAAGTGGGTCTCGATAAGTCAAAGCCCATAAATCCAATGTGGTTGGTATTTTAGAGGTAACCCACTAAGCTTTCGGGCTTACAGTTTTCAGTGTATTGTTTCAGGTACTTCAGGAGATCGTGGCAAGGCGAAGGCGTGATCGTACCGCTCCTTATGTTTTATGTAATTATGATGTGGTTCTGGGAAATACTTTGATAATAAATGAATTGAAAACCTTTTTGTAATGAATTAATGAATATGGGTTATTTTTGAAAAGTTTAAATTGGTTGAAATTTTTTGGATGTTACATTAGGCGGAGGCTAGACCGGTGATTCGAGTTCGAGGTTATCCGAGTTCTTACGAGGTGAATCTTCTCACTATACATACCTAGAGTGGTAATCTGAGCTATGTGACCGGAGGGTCTTATGTGTTTATATCGAGTATTGTGATATCATGCATTATGTCTTTGTGATCTATGTTGTGTCTTATTCTGAGCTTACTGAGTTAGTACCGGAGGGTCCACCCGAGCTGTGGGACCAGAGGGTCCCACTGAGACATATTGACCAGAGGGTCTTATTGAGTTATAGCATCGGGTGGCTAATGAGCTGTGTGTGGTATTTTGGGTAACTCACTAAGCTTTGTGCTTACCGTGTTATGTGTTATGTGTTTCAGGTACTTCTCAGGATCATGGGAAGGCACCAGCTTGATTGTACACACAATTGAGTTGGAGATATGTTTTTTTGGAGGATCCTGGATTTGTGATAAACAATTTTGAAATATGTGTTGATAAATTGATACTTGTGATTCTTGAGAAAATGTGACATGTGTTTTTATTATGTTTAAAAATGAAAATTTTAGTTTGAAAATTTACGGTGTTACACTTTTCCTCCTTAACACCAATTCATTCATGAACATCGATTTTGTCATCTTCATTTGAATCCCCAACTATTTGAATTGCCCCAAGCGATGTAGAGTCTTCATCATCCTTTGTAGCAAAACCCCAAATTAGCTCCCAACTGGAACTCAGGTTATCCACCACCACTCGTGACATTGATATACCCGGTGGAGGAGCAAGTAATGGCGGCCGTATACCCTTGATTCAACTTTGACCCTCCACATGATGTTTTTCATGAGATTTACATGCACCATCATAATCGAAGATCGGAGAGTTCTCGACATTAACTAAGCCAACACCAATTCCCAATTGCAAACCAATTACACATTTTACCTCATTAATTCCCCATTCATTGATATCATCATCACATTCTTCAACCTCGTCTATCCGCAAAACCCTAGCGTCTTCTGGCTGTGGTAACCTAGAGCACTCTGATTCCAGCGGCTCACTGATAATTTCACTCTCTCTTTTCCAGTTCGTTTTCTTCGATTGGTTCTTCTTGTTCAATATACAAAATCATATAAGGGTGTATTAAAACAGAAAAATGAGAGTTCATTTTTTTAAAGTACAAAAAGAAAATATTGTATGACTTTTTAAAACAAACAAGATAAGTTTGATATGCTAATATGATATTAACCCAAAAAATATATATGCATATCGGGTTGCACACAAAGTATAATCTAAAGTGAGAATAATAAATAAATGATGAGTTTATTATTCACCATAGTTGGATGGCTTGATTGGAAATTTTGAAAAAGCAGTACTTAATTTTCAATTAGACATATTTAACTATGACTAGATGATTATCTATTTAATTATAGATAACTACGTCACTAATTAAAATGTTTGGTTGGCAGAGAAGTTTGGCATTAGAGTTTGTCTATTTAAGGCAACCATTTTGGCGTCCCTCTCCTTACCACTTAGTTAACATGAAATTTCCCCTCATACCTCTCTTACTATGTGTTTAGAAAGCCATCATAATCTAATAGTGGTGAGCAAAATCGAACCCGAAAATTGAAAAACCGACAAAACTGAAACCAACTTCGAAACCAACGTTTGCGTTTGAGATTTTCAAAAACCCAAAATTTCAGTTTGGGATGGTTTCATAAATTTAAGAAACTAATAAAAACTGAACTGAACCAAAGTATATTAAATATATAGTAAACATGTTTTATACATATCTCATCTTATTTCATATCTCATATACTAATAAAAGAATAGTTTTTTTTTGCCATACGTCATCATATTAAACATCTCAATTAATATAATGACACTTGTTAATATATTAATTATCTATTTTAAATTTAGTAGACTTCCTGATTAATGGTGATACCTGTCAATCTATCTATTTTCCATTTTATATTTTATATTTTATATTACTTTTTTCATTAATTCACAAATAAAAAATATCAAATATATATTGAAAATTAATTTCATATATTTATTTAAATTAATGATTATAATTTTACATAACTAATAACAATATCTTTTAATTAATAGTTTATTTTAAAAAATTAATTAATAATTTTAAGTTTTTATATGAAAATTTAATTAATTTTATAACTAGGGTTTCCACGGTTTATAAACTTGATATTATATATATATATATATATATATATATATATATATATATATATATATATATATATATATATATATATATATATATATATTCTTAGAAATAAGAACACAAGCAATGTTTTGGTGGCTTGCTAGGTTGTTATCTCTTATACAAAATAGACCTAGGTTCCATTCTCATTGAGTGTTGTTGACATTTTTATTTTTCTAGAATCTTAGCTTATCACACATTGACGTTGGGGTGAAACTCCACGCTAAACATTGTATAAATGACAGTTTAACCAATATATTTTAAATATCAATAAGAGCTAAACATTGTATAAATGACAGGTTAACCAATATATTTTAAATATCAATAAGAGTTGTCACATATCGAAGCTGTGAGAAACTCGCCCAAATATCTATTTCTATATCGTTGGATTTGGTTAAATCCTAACCTAATAATTTCATGGTTAGTAGCAGTTTTAAAACTAAACTGAGAAAAACCAAAAACCTAGAACCGAAACCGATATGTTTGAGTTTGAAAATAAAATAACGTTACTTTGCGGTTTGGATTTGGTATTAGGCAAAAACCGATCAAAATGACCTGTGTTCACCCACTAAATTCAACAATTTGATCTTTTAGTTTGGACATTCGTATGAAATTGTGTAAGACGTATTAATGCATTATTGTCTTGTATATTGTTTTATTGTATTGGACCAATACTTGGTAGATATACTCTCAAACCTCGGTTCAACTGCCTAGTTGTGACTATATCGTATTTAATCTCGTTTGAATGAAATAAATTCTTTATTAAGATTTTTTAAACGTTATTAACATAGAAGCATACATGCATGTATACTACTATATTTAGAGAGTTTACTTTTTCTTGATTAACATTTTTTAAACGTTATTAACATTTTTGAGCGTTTATTTTTTTTAGATTAACATTTGTTGAAATTTAATTTCAGATTATTCAAATGCTTGTTTAAACATCAAATCAATGTTGCATCATTTTAATCCGTTAAAACACATAATTAACGTTTGAATATTAAGCATCACCCAATGCTGTTATTATCAACCAATCGATTAGTATTTGAAATTAGGGAACAACTCGTTTCTTTTTACTATTTTATAAATCTGCTTTTGCTTTCTTGATTTCGCGACAATCTTTTTATATCAAAATGCGTTCACTGTTATCAACCTATACAAATACAATAGGAAATATCTAATATGATTGCATGGTGTTTAATTGTATATAGTTTATTCAGATTAATGGGTTACTCTTTGCCTTTAGAATACGTATAGTTCCACAAAATATGGTATTTTGGTGCATTAGACCATAAAATTCACAAAATAAAAACATGCTTTTGATGAATCCAATGATTTATATAATGTGAATAAAATAAAATACGAATAAAAGTTTTTTTTATTTATGCTATGTTATAATTTTTGTTGCTTTTGAGAAGAATTAATGCATCCAACAATATAACATGTTAAATTGATAAAAATATATATATTTAAAAGTAAGTATAAAGTTCTTTTAGTTTTTAATATTAAAAAAGGAAAAAAAAAACTTAAAAAAGAAAACTTTTTTTAGGCAATATGATATTTTAGTGTTAGGATTGTAAACAAAAAACTTATACCAAAAGCTATTTAAGTGTTTTTTTTTTTTTTTTTTTTTTTTTTTTTTTTGGTGCGTGTGTGTTTTTTTATCCAATTTTACCAATGTTTTAAAAACCAGTTCGGTCAAACCAATTGTTTGGATTGGGAATTGAAGAAATAGTAGTTCAACTAGCACCGGATTTATGTTTATTTCTAGACAGAAATGAACTTGTTGGTTTTTATAATAAAATTTTTTTTTTGGACATCGGGATCGGACAAGACTAGACCGAGAACGACGTGGACCAGTTATATTATATTAGGTCCGGTTCTCAGTTCTTTGAATCATGCAAAATCGTTCCGAGTACAAAACCGGGTAGGTTCCGTCCAACATTTTTTTTTTGTTTTAAAGTAATAGACAAAACTAACCTTGACAAGGCTTCAATGTGTTATACCATATGCAACTAAAGTTGTATTGGTCCAATAAGTACAAGAATCGAAAAATCCAGACCTAGACTTGGACGTAGTAAGCCTACACAGATTCGGTCTATTGTCCACCAATTTCTGTCTCACGTTCAAATGCTTAAACCTAATTAAATCGGTTAAATTGAATAAAAACATATAAAAATAAAACGATTTTGCATAACAAATTTTGATGATCATTTCATATCTATTTAAATTTCTCATAAATTAAATTACAACACATGATAAATGTTATAAAGTTTTCTGATTTATATATTCATGTAAAATTATATTTCGCATCGATATACAATTTATTTTCTTTTTAATGTATGTAGATTAATGAATTTTTTTTATGCTTGAATTTATTTTTATATGTTATTTTAATATTTGAACTTGTATATATACATAAAAACAAAAATGATAACAAAATATAAAACTTCCAAATAGAATTGATCCGACGCTCGGACCGGAACCAATTGCTATATTGGTTCAAGTGAAAAACAAAATTTTAAAGGGTAAATTACACGAATGGTCCTTATGGTTTCGGGTAATTTGCGTGGTTGGTTCCTAGAAAGAATTTTTTAGTCGTACCATCCTTATTATATGTTTTTTTATCACGCGTTTGGTCCTTATTAAACATAAAGGACAATTTTACCCTTTCAATTTAATATTCAGATTTTAATTTTTTATTTAGAAAAGGTATTTGTTAAAACAATTCATACTGGGAATCTGCACCTTGCATCTCATATCCTCACCTCCTCACTCTCGAGTTTGCCTCCCTGACCCTCCTCACCGACGCCTTGAACTCCTCATTCTCATATCTTCAATGGCAAGCTGCCTTTGATTCCTCTCCTTTTCCAACTCTCACTTCATCGGTGATCGAACCCCAAAATAACCCCTTTGTGACCTAAATATCACTGCAAGCCTGCGATTCACCACAATGTTGTTGTCGCCTACCCCATCGTCAACGTCAAGCAACATCCACTAACCACTATTATCCATAAATCGTCTATCGACCTCTCTCTACTCCGTCGATGTACTCTGCCGCTCTCTATTTCACCGGTAAACAAACATCAATGGGTAATTTGCAATAATCGAGTATTTATTACTGGTTATTCGATAATCTTGCTATTGACAAATCGATTGTCAATGTTTGTGTACTGATCTGGTTTCAGGTTCTGGGGATGACCTGAGATAAGTTCCTTTTAATTGCAAAATCAGCTTTGCGTATGTTTTATCTTCGGTTTAAAATGAAGCTTTGGTGTCGTATCTGGTTTTTAGAGATCACATATTCTTGACTGCCAAAAACGACTTCAGCAAGTATGCAATATAGTGAATTTGGAGTAAATGTAATGAATTTGTAGGTAGGTTTTTGCAAACTAGAATTCGGTGGTGGGTGGAGCAAATACTATTGAATCAGGAATATGGTAGATGATAATACGGTTTATAGGGTTGCGAATTAGGATTTTGTATGTGAGAATTAGAAAATTGGAAAGGGGTTGTATATGAAAATAGGAATCAAAATCACTCTTTAGCTTTATATGGTATCTAAATTTTGTTTTGTTGGTTTTGCTAACAAGAACTGATGTATGATAGCTGAATAAGAGGTTGTTGGTGTTTGCTGGAGTGATTACAAGATACAGAGGTCTGTATCAAAAAATTTCGATGTCAATGAAAGAAAAACATAAATTTCTGGTTTCAACTTTTTAAGAAAGGATCGTCATAAGTTAGGTAGTAGTGGTGGAGGAGACCGACAGTGGTGTAGTAAATGATACCGAAAGCGGTGACGGTGTTGCAGGTGTCGACGATGACTAGGTGGAGTGACTATTGAGATGGTGGGATTGGGTTCTCATTTTATTAATGTTTTTTAATTTTAATTTAATAATAAAATCTGATTAAAATATCAAGAAGGGTAATATGGTCATTTCAAGTAAAAAAAGAACTAAATCCGAAACAAAAACAAATTGTAGGGATGGCCCGAGTTAAAAAAATTTTCTAGGGACCAACCACGCAGATTACCCCAAACCATAAGAACTATTAATTTACCCAATTTTAAAACAATGAACTTTACACAATTAAAAACTAACTATTTTACCGAAACAC